AAGATATGGATGGAATGCGTGAAAGGTGACATGATCAAGAAGGTAGTGGTGACTGAGATGACGGGTGATAGAGTTATTTGGAAACCCGGAGCGCCGATCTTACGAGAGTAGGATAAGGTAGGAGAGATGATGATTTGCGTACACGTATATATAATATTTTTTACGTAAATATAAACATGAAGAAGATAATAGTACGACGAGACGAGTTCTGTCCTTTGTAATATTACTATTGTTGTTTATTTAAAGTAAAATACAATGTGTCCGTAACGTAAATAAACGAAATCATCATCACATCATCACCAGCTCATTATACGTCCCCACCGAGGGGTTAAGAGCCTACCCTAAGTAAGGGATGACTAGGCCATAGTCAACCACGCTGGCCAAATGCGGGTTGGTTGACAAAAAAAAAATAAAGACAAAGAAAATAGAACAACTTAAAAAGTCGAAAAAAGTTTGCGTCAAAATTACTTTTTTACATATAATTGTAAAACGCAGGTAAAAGTAACTATTAAAACAACATAATAATGATAGTTACATGCTGTCAAAGAAGCACAGGATATAAATCAATTTTCTCTTCATAAGAGGATGGATGAAAACTATAAGATACTTCTAAAATCAGTACAGAGTATTTCAAACATGAGTAGGACACTTCCTTGACTCCTTACCTTGACTTCCCACGAGTAAAATCACGTAAACCAGACAAACACCAACGCATGTCCACCGCTGGACAGTTATTGAAATGAATTGCATTTATTCCTGCCTACCTACATTCAAAATGAAACTCAATTTGAAAACACAAACTTTATCCAATCTACTCGTCCGACCATTCTTGCGTGAGGTACAAGCAAGAGAAAAATACTTACATTTTTAATTTTAATAGAAAATTATAAATTACTTTAAATCGATCATTGATATTATAGTGTGGTAAATAGGGTTGGGACACGTTGTTTTTTACAAAAACCATGCTCACCTACTTTTGCAAATGCCTCCCTAATTAATCTTTATGTGTTTTGTTTACTTGTATTGTATACTGCATTCATGTTTAGACGAATGTATATGAAGGTATGCGATATGTATAAATTATTAATAAAACTTTGTCATATGCGACAATCTGTATCATTGGAACATTTTTATTTTGCTTACTGTCACCTTCTATTATTAACATAACACAACATATTTTAAAAATATAAAAAAACAAAATAAAGGATATAATAAAGAAATATCTATTACGATAAGTGCGTATTCATTTTGTAATACGTCATAGAAATCACTAAAATTCGGTTTATCATTTTCGTGCGCGACATTACAGGATACCTACAGTTCAATCACTTAGCAGAGCTACACGGCCGGTCGAGCACGTCGCATACGAACTGAAATATATACTACATGTACAGTTAACGACACAAATATTATTACAATAAACTGTTTTCTTACAAAAGAAACGATTAAAAGTATTCTTTTGTAGTATATTTAATTGGATTTCAAATGTAGATATTGCGGTCGATTTTATATACACAAGGTCTTCAAAGGAGTCTAACAATCGTCGTATTCAAATAAGAATTTTGTTTGTACCTTTCATGCAAATGTGATAATTTGTGTTTTCTCTTGAATGTAATTTGAATATTATTAAGCGTTTAGAAGACATTTTTCTGCTATTGTCTATAAATAGGTTCTTTTGTGAATCTAAAAATAAGACGAAGGTCAAACAAAACTAATGTAATTTTAGTCAGGCTACTTGTGATCAGCATGTGTTCTAGTGTAGACACACCTTTACGTTACGCCTCGTATCATAGGTATAAAAAATTATGGTCTTCATAGTATTTGTGACACAAATGGTAGCTTTCCTTACTGAATATTGTTATGCAATTATTAAACGTTGCATTGTCACGTGGGAATAGGTATTTAATTGTATATTAATTACAGATAATACAATGATATTGTGTAACGGAAAGTTGCATTGGAAAATATATAATGAACGGATAACATTTAGTGTACAAGGGCTGCTAAAAAGAGTATTTAAATGAAAATAAAAGAGTGCTTTGAAGATTGCATTAACAAGCACTGTTCCAGTAGATCTAGCCTAGAGCATAATTACGCTTATATATAAGGGTGAAGTCAGTCCGATTTATTACCTATTTCAATTTTTAACAACTACACTCAAGAGCATAGAATCCGGGTCACTTAAAAAATGTAGCGTTCTTAGTTTACGAGATTTTTAGGTTTTTTAATGACCCAGGTTCAATGCACGTGAGTGTATTTGGCATTTTTTAAGTTTCATACGAAATACAGATGTTAATTTATACTAATATAATAAAGCGTAAACACACACTACTTCGTGGCGTAATTTAACTTTACACGCTATTAAACTTAGGGGGTAAATAAAATGGAAAATATCTTTACGTGGGAAAGGATGATAAACTACAAGCTGCGAACATCAAAGAAGCAAAATTGCCATGGTACGGTAATTGGTATCCAATGTCAAAGGCCTTCGTTGCCATTTGTGCATTTGTATTTTAATTGCAATTGAGAATCTGACAAATGTAAACAATGAAATAAAGTTTTTTATAGTTTCACGCGGTAGAAGCCGCACGGGAACAGTTAGTCTCTCCTATCGATGGATCAGAGTTATATGGATTGAATTATCGTTAGAAAATGTATAAAACGCTTCACTGAGTCGATCAGTTAGTGCGCTCCGTCGGATGGAAAATTTGCACCAGTCTGTTGCACCGATTGCACAAATTAATCCTCAAACTGGATCCATGGGAATCAATTGCAATAATGATACGATTCTGGACCCTGTTCCCCTTGACACTTATCGGGGAATGACAGAGATTGTCAATTGTTTCGTAGTCAAATTATTCCCCCATGGAAACCCACCGTAAATGAATTTCAAAATAAAAATCTTAATTTCCGTTTCTTACTGTAGCTATTCTATTATTTAAATAACTTATAAATAAAATGACATAACGTAAATGTACTTAAAACATCACTAGTGTATCGAGTTTGTCGTGAAACCTTACAAAGAGCGTAATCTTTTCATTGTCACAACTTGATCGTAAAATTGTTTTCAAGGACAGCTCGAAAAAATATAAAAATAATATCCCCTTTAAAATAAAATCAGCCTTTACTATTTACTAAAAAAAAGAGCAAATAAAAGAATTAAATTACCGTTACGTTAATGTAAATATCGACTTACCGATTGAAGATTTAATAGACAACACTACATATCTTCACTAAACGGTCCCGAAAAAATTTTGCGCACCAAAAAATTTGTGAATTTTAGTATTGTTCAAAATATTTGAAACGTGAACCGAGTCCGGCTTGTCAATCGGTAATGGAACATTCAGGTCGCCTAACCATAACTCAATTACCGGCATTAGCAATTTTCTTATAGTGATGTGACCTCGGTTAGATGTTCGATATCGACATTTTCAATTCAACAAACATACGGTATGTAGACATAAGTTTCAGTTAACATAACCACAGAAATAGATGGGGCACTTAAACTTTTAGATTTAGCATGACTTTAATTGGTCGTTTCTATTTATTTCGTATTTAAAATAATTTTATTTCACCATTCGCATAGAGTTAAAAAAAACTGAGTAGCCTTTGTGTTCTTCCAGACTATGCTTTAAATCTATGCCAAATTTTATCGAGATCTGTTTAACAGTTTGAGCTAGAAACTCTTAAATATCAATCTATTTAAACTTTCGCATTTATAATATTACTAAGAAATGTAAATAGTAAGATATGCCTAATGTCTTTAAGTCATGGCATGTTATTTCTCTATCGATACTATCTTAGGAATAAATAGGAACATCACTATTTCAAGCTGCTTAATCCTACATGAGTTTGAATGTGAACTTGTGAATTGTCGTTATTCATATGCAGTTGCCAGACGGCTTATCCATATATCGGCTTTCAAACTGACTTATAATATGGCTTGGTCGGACAAGTTTTGATATCGTTTAGAATCGATCGAAATTTCAATATCGATATTGCTGTATTATTTTTTACTTAGCAGCGTTAAAACATTTTCAGTCAGTATCTGTCATATTTTCTATACAAAGTTAATAAAATTATTTTCTAAGATGAAAGTGTGTTCTATATTTACTTTTGTACCCAAACTCCTGTGTGTTAAGATTCAATTTGCTTAGACAATTTGAAATTGAAATTTTAGAATATCTTTGTACATATTACAATAATCTAATTCACTCATGTATATTTGATATTTATTTTGCAGCTGCGAATCGGTCGAATCATTTTTATGTAAGACCTTTTTATTGTAATAAGTATTCATCAATGCAAATATAAGGCGATAGCCTAATATTTTACATTAGCAAAGCAAATCAAATTCGTAGAAAATTTTACAATACTTATAGGCGATTTCTGAAACACTTCACTTCAAAAGTCGTCTAAATAATGGGATTTGAAGTTTATGGGCCTGTCCCACCACTGGCTGATAGAGGCTCAAATTAAAAATGACGTCACTGTCATATAAGGTAACAAAATCCGATATTTCAATCACACATTTTTTCACGTTGGATTATCAGACAATTTACAATTTGGTGAGCCAGGTCCTAAGTCCTCGTATCACTAAAAACGCCGTAAATTTCAAATTGGCTTTTAGTATACTAAAAATAGAAATTCGAGATCAGTTTGATATTGAAGTAAGTATAGTAACGATTTGGTTTTAATAAATGTTGATCCATTTGTATAAAACAGTAATTTTATGAGATTTATTTCGCAAGCTTTTGTTGTTGTTTCGGTCCATTCATAGTTTCGTCATAGTATGTACCATATATCTTTCACCAACTTGCCCTTGTCTCTAAGGACGGTCGGCACAGTATGTGCTCTTCCATACATCTCTATCAGCCGTCATATCTGAATTCACTCTCTTAAGTATCCTCATTTACACAATCCATATATGGTCTTCCTCTTGTAGCCCATCCACATTCATTTTCCATAAATCTATATGACCTTATATCTGAATTTCTTAGTACATTCTATTAAGGTTATCAACAACGACTACTGGTCTACTGGTTACAACAACGTCTACTGCAAATAAAATTGTCAATTAGTAAATTTGCATACAATAAGTACTTAAGGGACATAGTGAATGTATAGTCAATTACATTATCAATTTCCCATGAGGGCCGGCCACTTATAGAAATTAATGCTGAACGATACACGACTGTGGGACGCTACCATCGACTATGTCATACTAAGCCAAGGTAACGTGGATTGTAATAACATTTAAATATGTAACAGATTATAAAATACACCAAATTAGAGTCAGTCCCACCAAATTCTTGTAAATTGTCAGGTAATCCAAGGTGTAAAATATCAGACAGCTACGTCATTTTTAAGCTATCTGAGCCTATATCAGCCAGAAGTGGGACAGGCCCTAAATCTCCAAATTCCGTTAGAATTTTGACGTCTGCTACTTTGGCGCTTACGAAGCTTAATCCAGCGATCAGTAAATGTTTTTTGTGTGTACGTTTTTATGTATGCAAATGTTTATACAGTGAAACTGTTTGTAGTTAAACTAGTGAACTTCCCAGTCAATCAGTTTTAAAGGAATTTATTTGATTAAAATACTGTTTACCTGGCGCTTTAGACGGTATTTGTAACCTGTGACTAAGTTTTTTCTTGTTAACTGGCTTCCATTATGAAATAGTAAACAATGTTAAGATCTTCGTTATCGGATAAAATACTATGTACTTAATTTTAATTATAACCCTACTATTTTCAATGTCCTTATTCCAAGTAGCACGAACCTAACAATGAACTTCGTCTTGAACTTGGTCAATTCGATAAAAATGATTATGACGTATATTAAATAACATTGCATTGAGAACAACAATCGATTATGCACTTTATTACTTAGCTTTAAAGTTTATTTTCCAATGCATTAAATGATTTAATGATTGTAACAAACGAAATTGGATATTATGCTTTACTGCAATAGTTATAAAGTTAGTTTTTCTTTGTATTGTAATTGAAGAAGAAAATGCGTGACCTGGCCTCATTGCATTGGCTTCATCGCATTACAGATCACGTGTTTTGGGAAATCTTTTGCCTAAAGTATTTGTTCGTGAAAACAGAAGTTGTAACAGATCTTTTGTTATAAGGTTACAGGGCTGTAGCAAATGTCTGATTATTATTTAATATACTCATCATCTCCCCTGCTTTATCCTACTCCCGTAGGGTCGGCGCACCGGGTTTTCGTCCTCTAAAGCACTCTGTCATCCGTCATCTCAGTCATCCCTCCCTTCTTGATCAGGTCACTTTTCACCCAATTCATCCATCTCTTTCTAGGTCTACCTCTACCGGTGTACCCCTCCACAGTAGTATTATTTAAAAATAGCCTTCTACGTTAAGCTAGAAAAGGATATAGGCATGTATACCTTTTCATAAATAACAGATGAACGGGATTAGAAATCTAGTTAACAGTAATCCTTTACTTACCTCATTTCAAACATAATGAGTATTGCTTCTGTTCGAGCATTCGTTACGTAACATACATACGCTTCTAGTTAATTAGATAAAACACAGACGGACAATCCTCTAATGAGTATTTAAAGTATACCTGTTAAGGTTTCATGACTATGTACCTTTTTAAATACTCAACACACTCAATGCTTCAAAGTCTGTTTTAATTTTGTACCTGAATTAGTAGGCGGTGGCATTGAAAGTGTTTAACAAGCTAGCAAGCAAGATATATAAAAAAAAAACAATTATTGTAACAAGAAGGACGTTGGTTATGACTGTGGAGTAAGACACCAGTAGTACACCAGTAGAGTAAGACATAAAAATACATAGTCGGATTGCGTGAAAGGTGACATGATCAAGAAGGGAGTGATGACTGAGATGACGGATGATAAAATTATTTGGAGGACGACTTCCCGATTCGCCGACTCTACGGGAGGAGGATTAGGTAGGGGAGATGAATTATCGCGATTGATTGAAAAGAGTTTCAATCCTCGGTTAGAGAACCGTCTCAGAAGAATAATAAATAATTAAGAATACTCTCTATAAATCCATCGACCCACACAGAAAGATTTCTATAAATTTGATTTATATAAGGACGTCATCCCAAAAAATTTAATCATATATCAGATAATAAAAGAAATTATACGTATTAATGAGATGTAATGAAATCTTACCTTGGTCGTCTCGAAGATGTTACTATTGTTAAAGGTCCAGCTGATTTTCTTCTATCTTTCACAATAGGAACAGCTAATAGACACTCTTCTTCCGATTCTGAACCACTTTCCCAACTTATGCTAGCAGGAGCCGACATTCTTCTGTCCGGAATCCTTTTTGGTGGTTCTAACATTTCTCTTATCACTTCACAAAATTTACAACCAGCAGCTTCAGCGATATATGCCTTAGTTATAGCATACGCATAATTCTCTAAGAAACATTTATGACAATCTGGTACGCAATTATTTTCCAAATCAGTCGATTCCTCACTAGGTTCTTGTTTCTTTAACATTTTTTCTATATTCTTTGGCGTTCTCTTCTTTTCTTCTTTGTGCCTCTTTTCTTCTTCTAATTTTTTCTGTCGTATTTCCCTTAAACATTCATCTTGGTCGTTGTAATATTCGATGCATCGGCGTTCATTTTTGGACGGTTTAGTTGGACTTTTTTTTCTTATCTTTTTCGTGCTGATGTTTACATTTAGAGGTTCGATTCGCAGTGATTTCATTTGTTTTATTATATGTTCTTGAACATAAGGCCGTGTGTACGATGTTTCTTCAACAACATCGGCGATACTCTGATCCGTATTTGTTTTGGCACATGCGTTGTCTTTGTTTCTAGGAACTTCGTTTTGTTTACTAAAGTCTTTGATCTCATCTCCGTTGATTTTATAGCCGTTTTTTTCGGCGCACTTCCCCGACGAGTCATCGTCGAGACATGTTTCGTAACCGTCTATTTCATGATCGATAAATAACAATGTACTATTTTCCTCTTGGACGGATATTCTCGTTGTCGCATCGTAGAAACTACTTGCTTCATCTGTCGGTGAATTCAAACATTCCTTCCAACTTTCATCACTTTTAACTTTATGTATAACATCTTCCTTATTCTGTCCGCAATCTTTCCAATACTTTTCGAAACTGATTCTTTCTAAACCTGTAGGAGTTACTGCGAATACCATTTCATCGGATGTTGATAGATCTTTGCTATTTTGTTTCGACAGGCTCCTACTTCCATTTGTTTCTTTCCTGTCAGCTGATTTACTTCTTATATTGAATTCTCTTGGGGAAACTAAAACGTCGTCTTCTGTTATAGTCATGTCATCATCAGGTCCATCTAAAGATTCTTCAGATTTTGAAGACTTGAGTTCCATTATACCATTCACTTTATCTTTTAGTTCATCTTTTTTAATATCATCCGTTTTTTGTTCTTTTTTGCAATCATCAAAACTGAGATCACATAATGCGGATAGTTCGTCATCTTTGATAGATGCTTCCTCTGGTTCTAGGCAAATTTGTACAACTTCTAAACCTTCTCCGTACTCTTGTAGACATTCGTGAAATGAATCCATACCGGTGTGGTCGTCAGATGCTATAGAGTTCACACATTCCTGGAAAATAATAAACAATTATTTATCCAGAAAATATGATTAAAAGCTAATACGAAGTGACTTTACTTCCAGTTGGAAGAGTGATTTTGTAACCATTATCATGTCTATTGTTTGTTGATGGAGATTAAATTTAAATTTATTAGCATCCTTAGAACGTTTTATTACAGTGGTAGTTCCCGCTTTGACATCTAAGCACAAATGAGCCGGCTCGCCCGGTGTAATACCACGACCACACAGAAAACAGGCGTGAAGTGGAAGCAATTCCG